GCTGGGATTACAGGCGGGAGCCACGACACCCGGCCGAAGGTGAAAATTATTAAATCACAAGGGACACCAGGCCTGAAGAATCCTGCACAGAGAGAACCAATTAGGCCTCATAAGTAACCTCAATGTTGTCTGATTTGTAAACATAATTGAAACTTTACTTGAGCTAGAAGAATAGGACTTAGGCTTAACGCATCAGAAGCAGCCAGTATGTGTATACAGTGATGTTGGGAACAGAGACCCTAAGCCTATCATAAACAGGCCTTAAAGAAATGGCCATAAACAGGATTTCTGCAGCAATGTGACGTGCTCGTGGTGACGGTCACGCACACTGATGAAAGTTGTTGGTTTACTGGAGCAGGTCAAGGAACACCGGGCCTCACCCGGAGCAGAAAACTGCTCAAACCACAAACGACAGCAGGCGCGGCCTGGGCTTAATAACATGTTTTTGCTGCAGATAATCAGCCAGAGACTGTTTCTCTGTTCCTCGCTGAGAATGCTTTGTGTCCCGTAAGGAATGCTTTTAGCTAATCTATAATCTATAGAAGCAATGTTTATCACTGGCTTTCTGTCAATAAATGTGTGGGTCAAGCTCTGTTCAGGGCTCTCAGCTCTGAAGGCTGCCAGCCCCCTGATCCCCACTTTATACGATATTCCTATGTCTTTGTCTTAATTCCTCTGGTGCCGCTGGGTTAGGGTCTCCGCGACAGAGCTGGTCTCGGCACAGGGGGCTCTTGGTGTTTGTGGGGACGGGTTCCAGGACCCCAGTGGATCATACAATCCATGGATGCTCAAATCCCTGATAGAAACTGTGTCATTTTTGCACGTAACTGTCTCTGTGTGTCCCGTCATCTTCAGATCGGTGCTCATGGCCAGTGGGACACCCGCACGGCACTTTAGGACGGATATGCAGCAAATTCAAATTTTGCTTTTTGACACTTTCTGGAATTTTTTCACAAAAGTTTCAATCTGTTGGTTGACTCCACACATGGGGAACCCACAAACTCAGAGGGTCAATTGGAACCGCGTGGCCTCCAAGGGAACCAAGCAACGCAGCCACTGCCACCTTTGCCAGCCAAGTGTTGTCTTAGCTCTGCCCTGTCCATCCTGGCTCCCTCTGCAGTCACTCAGTAACATCCGGGACCACTGCTGGTTTGGAGCTGCCCAGGTCATTAATTGCTGTTTGCTAAACGAACACTTTAAAAATTATTGTGGGCCGGGCGCAGTGGCTCATGCCTGTAATCCCAGCACTTTGGGAGGCCGAGGCGGGTGGATCACGAGGTCAGTGGATCGAGATCATCCTGGCTAACACGGTGAAACTCTGTCTCTACTAACAATACAAAAAATTAGCCAGGCGTGGTGGCGGGCGCCTATAGTCCCAGCTACTCGGGAGGCTGAGGCAGGAGAATGGCGTGAACCCGGGAGGTGGAGCTTGCAATGAGCCGAGATGGCGCCACTGCACTCTAGCCTGGGCAACACAGCGAGACTCCATCTCAAAAAAAAAAAAAAAGTTATTGTGCCTCAGTTTACTCATTAACACAATGTGACCCCTCCTACGACAATTAAGCAGAGCAAACCAGAGCCCGGGACACCCAGAGCCAGGCCAAAGTGCAGGTGTTATGTTAGCAACGCTTGAGTGTCTTTGATTTCTAAAAGATAACACTGGTTTCCTGTTAGGAAAATGCTGCTGACTCAGGGTGGCGTGGGCGTCAGAGGTGGGTCCACCTCCTCTGTGTCCTCAGGACAGACGCAGGTTTGCCTCTGCCATCCTAGAACCATGATTTTTATATAATTTTTAAATGTGTGTGTTCCAAGTGGTGAATCCAGTAAGAGCCTCACGTGGGGCACAGCGACGTGAAGGTTGGAGCACAGGGCACACGGGTCTTCTCTGTGCGTCCCTCACTAACACCCGGGTCGTGCCTTGTGTGTGTTCCCAGCCATGCCTCGTTAGGCGACGCTGCGGACACGAAGCTCCTTATTCCGCACGGTGCTGCCTGCGGCCAACATCCTGAAGACTTGCCCGTCAGGGTACAGGGAGCTGCCTTGTTGTTGTTTCCTGGCTGGGGGAACGGAGTCTCGCTCTGTCCCCCAGGCTGGAGTGAGTGGCGCGATAGCTCACTGCAAGCTCCGCCTCCCGGGTTCACGCCGTTCTCCTGCCTCAGCCTCCCTAGTAGCTGGGACTACAGGCGCCGCCATCACGCCTGGCTAGTTTTTTGTATTTTTAGTAGAAACGGGGTTTCTTCATCCACATTGGCCAGGCTGGTCTCGAACTCCTGAACTCACGTGATCCACCTGCCTCGGCCTCCCAAAGTGCTGGGATTACAGGCGTGAGCCACCATGCCTGATCACGTTTATTTTATTATTAATTTATAAATTTATTTAAAACAGATGCGGCTGGGCGCAGTGACTCACACCTGTAATCTCAGCAATTTGGGAGGCCGAGGCGGGCGGATCACTTGAGGTCAAGAATTTAAGACTAGCGTGGCTGGCTGGGCACAGTGGCTCACTCCTATAATCCCAGCTACTCGGGAGCCTGAAGCAAGAGAATGGAGTGAACCCAGGAGGCAGAGCTTGCAGTGAGCTGAGATCGTGCCACTGCACTCCAGCCTGGGCGACAGAGCGAGACTCTGTCTCAAAAAAAAAGAAAAAAGGCCGAGCGCAGTGGCTCTTGCCTGTAATCCCAGCACTCTGGGAGGCTGAGGCAGGCAGATCACGAGGTCAGGAGATCGAGACCATCCTGGCTAACATGGTGAAACCCCGTCTCTACTAAAAATAAAAAAAAAAAAAAAAAATTCGCCGGGCATGGTGGCAGGTGCCTATAGTCCCAGCTACTCAGGAGGCTGAGGCAGGAGAATGGCGTGAACCCGGGAGGCAGAGCTTGCAGTGAGCCGAGACCACGCCACTGCACTCCAGCCTGGGTGACAGAGCGAGACTCCGTCTCAAAAATAAATAAATAAATAAATAAATAAATAAATAAATAAATAAATAAAACCAGCCTGGCCAATATGGTGAAACCCCATGTCTACTAAAAATACAAAAATTAGCCAGGTTTGGTGGCTCATGCCTGTTTTTCCAGCTACTTGGGAGGTGGAGGCAGGAGAATTGCTTGAACCCGGGAGGTAGAGGTTGCAGTGAGCCGAGATCGTGCCACCGCAGTCCAACCTGGGTGACAGAGCGAGACTCCGTTTCAAAAAAAAAAAAAGGGAAAGTGCTGGGATTACAGACATGAGCCAGTGTATCCAACCCAGGGGGTTTGGTTTTTTTTTTTTTTGAGACGGAGTCTCGGTCTGTCGCCCAGGCTGGAGTGCAGTGGCACAATCACTACAAGCTCCGCCTCCCGGGTTCACGCCATTCTTCTGCCTCAGCCTCCCGAGTAGCTGGGACTACAGGCGCCGCCACCTCGCCTGGCTAGTTTTTTGTATTTTTTAGTAGAGACGGGGTTTCACCGTGTTAGCCAGGATGGTCTCGATCTCCTGACCTCGTGATCCGCCCGTCTTGGCCTCCCAAAGTGCTGGGATTACAGGCTTGAGCCACCGCGCCCGGCCTAGGGGTTTGGTTTTTTTTTAGCAATTATCCTCCAGATGGACCTTGGTGGTGCACACTTTTCCTCGTATACATGTGTTAGTTTATTATCTTTTTTATGTTATCTCCTTTATTTGCCTTTGAAATCTTTATTGTCACTTTGGTTAAACAGATAACGAAATATTGTTTCACAATGACATATGATCCTATTGAGTTTTCACATCTTTTGATATTTTTGACCACTTCCCAAAATCAAAATCAAATTCTAAATTAAATCTTCTGACCTCAAACTGACTTTGAAGTTTTCTAGAGGGTCCCTGGAAAATCTCAAACCTCAAATCTTTGACCATTTCAAAGGATTTGTTTTACCACCTTGTTAAAAGAGAGATGTTAAACTAATTCGGTTTATTTGGTAGAACATTGTGAAAGAAGAACCTTCACCTTCCCTACATTGTATTTATATAGTTAAATGTTGCTCTTTCAGAAATTATATAAATTTCCTAAACATTTGTCAATGCCCTTGTTATCTGATCTGTTCTATGTTACTGTTCGTGATTTCAGTTGTTATTTAAAACGTCGTATGTCACAAAAACCACCAGAATTTGTTGTGTGTTGTTTTTATAATGAACTCTCATCAGATCTTTCATTATTTTCAGGTTTGCTTGTTTTGTTTTTTTTTTTTGAGACGGAGTCTCGCTCTGTCCCCCAGGCTGGAGTGCAGTGGCCGGATCTCAGCTCACTGTAAGCTCCGCCTCCCGGGTTCACGCCATTCTCCTGCCTCAGCCTCCCGAGTAGCTGGGACTACAGGCGCCGCCACCTCGCCCGGCTAGTTTTTTGTATTTTTTAGTAGAGACGGGGTTTCACCGTGTTAACCAGGATGGTCTCGATCTCCTGACCTCGTGATCCGCCCGTCTCGGCCTCCCAAAGTGCTGGGATTACAGGCTTGAGCCACCGCGCCCGGCCAATTGAGCCAAACTTTGAGACAGAAAAAGGCGGGACACCAGGGGACCACCACTATCACGGAGGCGGTGACGGCCCGCGCTCTGGGAGCCCACGGTATTTTCTGGTAATCCAACAAGGAAACAGGTGGTGAGAACGTGGAGATCAAAAGAGCACGCTGCATTAAGCACATGACTTACAGCTGAGACGGTTTAGCATTTATACGGAGCAGGTTCTGCTACTTGAGATAACGGGGACAGGAGCCTAGGAGGGCTAGGAGCAAGGAGCCAGGAAGTCTACACACATTCCAGAAGGCTTTATGCAAGCCTTGCCTCAGTTTCCCTCCCAACACCTATCTGTCTTACTTGTTGGTATATATGTTGTATTTTCACCACTAAAATGCATAAGAAAAAGGACACGGATGGCTTACGCGCGCTGGTGTGTAGCATTCTCTAAGCTCTGACATCACAGAGCTGAACAGCACAGCTGTGCACACACCGCCCTGGCTGTGAGGTGGCACGTCCACACATGAGGGAAAAACACTGCCGGGACATCTCAGGGCACTCTCAGGAAATGAGGAACCTGCTGAAGAAGTTTCTAGCCTTGGGGGAGGTCAAGACGCTGAGCCATCTCCTGGAGCAAAGTTCCCTCCTCCTCTCTCCCTCCTCCAGCCCTTCCTTCCGACCCCTGGCCCTTTCTCTCCAACCTTCCCCTCCCCTCCTCCATTTCCCTCCTCTTTCTACTTTCAGAGAACACAGGGTTCCTGCAGGAAATGGGGCAGTTTCACCTTCCTGAGGAGGGGCCTGGGAGGGGCAGCAGGTGGCCGAGTAGGGCCAGCCCAGCTGTGAGGCTGGCGTGGGAGCTGCCTAGGCTGGGGCCTTGCTGGGGAGCAAGCCTGCATCGCAGAGGCCAGGGTGAGTGGCCAGGGTACTGGGGTGCCCACCTGGGGTGGTACAGGCCCGGGGACCCCAGGACACCACTGCGGGTGGAAGCTGGGACCAGGTGTGCGGGGCAGGGGACACAGCGGCTTCCCGGGATTCTAGGAGGCTGGGACCAGGTGTGCGGGGCAGGGGACGCAGCGGCTTCCCGGGATTCTAGGAGGCTGGGACCAGGTGTGTGGGGCAGGGGACGCAGCGGCTTCTTGGGATTCTAGGAGGTGAGAGAGCTGCTCTCAGACCCACCGCTGTCCTCTCACTGGCCCTCCCCATGGTCCCTAGGATGAGGTCTGGACCCGCTGGACCCTCCAGAGGCCCCACACCCCCACTTGTCCACTGTGCCGGCTGTAGGACCCCGGTGCAGTCCTAGGCACCCTTGGGACTCAGCTCACGTGCCCCTTCCTCCAGGGAGTTCCCAGAGGCTGTGTGAGGAGCGCCCAGGCCCCGGACTTACTCTCTGTTCTGGAATTCTGTGCGCAGTTATCTGCCTTCCTGCCCAGCTGAGAGCAGGGCCCCGTTGTCCGGACCCACATTTTTCTTCCAGGTGGAAAGAATTTGCTGAATGAAAATCAAAGCTGTGGCCGGGCGTGGTAGCTTATGCCTGTAATCCCAGCACTTTGGGAGGCTGAGGTGGGTGGATCACGAGGTCAGGAGATTGAGACCATCCTGGCTAACACGGTGAAACCCTGTCTGTACTAAAAATACAAAAAATTAGCCGGGCGCGGTGGCAGGTGCCTGTAGTCCCAGCTACTTGGGAGGCTGAGTCAGGAGAATGGCATGAACCCAGGAGGTGGAGGTTGCAGTGAGCTGAGATCGCACCACTGCACACTCCAGCCTGGGGGAAAGTAACCAAAAAAAAAAAAAAAAAAAAAAAAAAAAATCTGTGCCCTGGTTGGAGTTGGGGCAGCTTCAGGGTTATCACAGGACATTCTAGAGAGAAAGCCTCGGGCACGGGGGATGTTGGAGTCTGGAGTTGTGGCGGGAGCAGTGAGGGCAGACCCTGCTTCGGCCAATGGCTCTCATACAGCAAAGCCATTTTCACGGTGTGGGTCAAGTAGCCCGTACATCTCTTGGTGAATTCTTGCGGATTGGCGTCTGACCCCATGGAGCCCCTCAGTGGGTGGCATGGGTGGAAGGGGCATCTACGGCCTCCAAATGTGTACATGTCTCTAAAATGCCTCCCGCTGGGCCTCAGCTTCGACTGACGAATCCCCAGGCGGAGGCCAGGAGCAGACAGGGAGGGTCCCTCAGTCCCTGCGAGCAGCTTCAGGGGGAGGGACGTCGGCTGTGGTGAACGGGCAGCTTCACGGGGAGGACGTCGGCTGCGGTGGACGGACACTGAGCCCCAAAGCAGCCTCTCAGAGCCACCCCGAGGGGTGGCTTCAGAGGTGGGGCTGAGGCTCCCAGCTCCCACTGGGGACAGAGCGGGCAGGCGGGCCTGGCAGGGCAGTGGTGCCTGTCTACACGCAGCCCTGGAGTCTCTGGACCTGTGTCCAGTGTGTGTATCCCAGCTCCGTCTCCCATGAGCCAGGCGGGCTGGGCCTGGCTTCTCTGCCTCAGTTTCCAAGACTAGGGGACAGGTAGCAGCTGCCTTGCTCTCGGGGGTGGCAGGGTGTGAGTTAAAGGGCAGGACAGCCATGGAGGCAGTGGTGACTCCGAGCACCTGCCCTGCCTTCCCAGGTCCTCGGAGCCCGCTCTGGGGGATGAGCAGCTGGTTCTCGGGTAAAGTGAGCCCCTAGGACTCCGCCTTGCAGGACCCTGCCAGGCCCCAGCGAACCGGCCCCACGGAGGCTCGTTGGGATTTGACCACCAGAGGGCAGCAGCTGCAGCAGCCAGGCAGGCGGTCAACACGGGGGCCACCCGCTGTCCCTGGCCAGCCATGGGGTGTGAATGGGAGAGGAGGGGGACCAAGCCCGAGGCCCGCCTTGGCCCCTAAGCGTCCACCCATTTCACAGATACTGAGGCCCAAAGGCGTAGGGCTCAGGCATCCCCCACGTGTCCTGTCCCCAGGCAGGAGAATCGCTTGAACCTGGTGGGCAGAGGTTTCAGTGAGCTGAGATCACACCACTGCACTCCAGCCTGGGTGACAGAGCAAGACTTCATCTCAAAAAACAAAACAAAACAAAACAAAAACTGAATTTAAAATGCTCCCTAACATCCAGCTGGGGCGTGCAGCAGGAGGCTGGGTCCACGGGGCTTCGGGGGCTGGGCTGGGGGTTCAGGTGGGTGAGGAGTCAGTGCTGTGGGGATGGGGCTCAGAGCCTGGAGACAGGCAAGCCAGGAGAGGCTGGGACCTGTGCCTTGGAAGGACAGAGGCAGCGGGTCCAGGGGTCACCCACTCAGAGGCTGACTGAGCAGAGTTTCAGGGAACAGTATGGCCCAGCCTCCTGTGAGAGGATCAGAGAGAGACAGGTGGAGAGGAGAGGAGACAGCGGCTGTGCTGGGAGCTGTGCCACAAGGGGTCGTTGGATGGAGGAGGGGGTCGCCATGAGGCATCCGCACCCCCGGGACAGTGAAGACCCAGCGTGTGCAGCTGACCTCGAGGACAGGGCAATTGCTCCACCAGAATGTTCCCAGAGGGCACGGATGCTTCTAGTCCCAGCACTGGGAGCTGCAGCGGGATTCCCAGGTGGTTTAAAGAGGTTCCTTGAGGTTTGTGATCCTGAATTCAAAGTAGCACCCATCGGGACAGCTGGGTCTTCTCCCCTCAGCACACTCAGTGAAGGGCAGTGCAAACGCAAAGCGGGCAGGAAGTGGGCAGGAAGCGGGCAGGAAGCGGCCAGGTTTTATCGAGAGGCCTGACGGCTCCAGAGGAGATGATGGAGTCTGGCAGGGAATGGAGCAGGCGGCTGGAGGTCCCGGGCGGGCCCTGGAGCAGAAGGGGAAAGGAGGGGTGGGCTGTAGGGACTGCAGTGAAGGTCAGGCCCCGCCCGAGCAAGGTGGGAGTAGCACAGGTCATTGCAGGTCAGGGAATTGCTTAGCCAGGGCTGGGGACAATTCTCTCTTACTGAAATTGCCAGGAGTTGAGACGGGGTGGAGCTAGAACAAGGGAGAGGGGGCAGCAGAGAGGTGGGGTGCTTAGGGCTCACACGTGAAGCCCCTGGGGCACGGCATGGAGACTTGTGGCTGAGGTAGGAGAGGGAGGAGGGCACCAAGGCCTGGGGGCCCTGAGAGGTGAGGGGGAAACTGCTCGTACCTCATGAGGCCACGGGAGCTCCCTCAGCACGGTCCCTGTGTAGAGGAATTGCTCAGGTAACGTGAGCTCTGAGACTTGTGCACGTGTTGCACAGAATGAGGTGGAAACATCCATGACGGGAGGTCTCCAGGCCATCTGGTCAACAGAAACCAACAGCATGCAAAGGCCAGGAGCCCACGCCTGTGCTGGTCTGTGCCTGGAAATGCTGGAAGGCGGCCGGGCGCGGTGGCTCACGCCTGTAATCCCAGCACTTTGGGAGGCTGAGGCGGGCGGATCACTTGAGGTCAGGAGTTTGAGACCAGCCTGGCCAACGTGGTGAAACCCCGTCTCTACTAAAAATGCAAAAATTAGCTGGGCGTGGTGATGTGCGCCTGTGATCCCAGCTACTCGGGAGGCTGAGGCACAAGAATCACTTGAACCCGGGAGGCGGAGGTTGCAGTGAGCTGAGATTGCACACTCCAGTCTGGGTGATGGAGCAAGACTCAGTCTCAAAAAAAAAAAAAAAAAAAAAAAAATTCATTCTAAGTCAAGAAAAATTAAAATTTTAAATTATTAGCATGTGTTTATAGGATTTAACTCGGCTGGGCGCCGTGGCTCAAGCCTGTAATCCCGGCACTTTGGGAGGCCGAGATGGGCGGATCACCAGGTCAGCAGATCAAGACCATCCTGGCTAACACGGTGAAACCCCGTCTCTACTAAAAAATACAAAAAACTAGCCGGGCGAGGTGGCGGGCGCCTGTAGTCCCAGCTACTCGGGAGACTGAGGCAGGAGAATGGCGTAAACCCGGGAGGCGGAGCTTGCAGTGAGCTGAGATCCGGCCACTGCACTCCAGCCCAGGCGACAGAGCGAGATTCCGTCTCAAAGAAAAAAAAAGATTTAACTCATGCAGAATCTCCAAAATTGCACAATTTGCATTTTTATTTTAATTAGTTTATTAGTTTATCCATCTTGACAAGGTCTTGCTCTGTCAGCCGGGCTAGAGTGGTGAGATCACAGCTCCCTGCAGCTTAAACCTGCTGGGCTCAAGCCATCCGCCTGCCTCAGTCTCCTATGCAGCCAAGACCACAGTGTGTGCCACCTCGCTTGGCTATTTTTTGTATTTTTTGTAGGGACAGAGTCTCCCTATGTTACCCAGACTGGTCTCAAACTCCTGGCCTCAAGCGATCTTCCCACCTTGGCCACCCAAAGTGCTGGGATCACAGGCACAAGCCATCAGGTCTGGCCTACATTATTTATATATTTGCTTTTGAGACAGGCTGTCATCATGTTGCCCAGGCTGGAGTGCAGCCTCAGCCCCCCAGGCTCAAGCAATCTTCCCACCTCAGCTTCCCAAGTAACTGTGACTGCAGGCACACACCAGCATGCCTGGCTAGTCTTTTTATTTTTTGTAGAGATGAGATCTCCTTCTGTTTCCCAAGCTGGTCTCAGACTCCCAAGCTTAAGTGATTGCAGCACTGTTTCCCGGGCAAAATTGCACAATTCACATTTTGTAATTTATAGATTAATATATATTTTATTCTTACCAGAACAGTGGGAACCCTGCACAAAGCTGGTTTTATTTTGGTCTTTTTTTGTTTGTTTGTTTTTGAGACGGAGTCTCGCTCTGTCGCCCAGGCTGGAGTGCAGTGGCCGGATCTCAGCTCACTGCAAGCTCCGCCTCCCGGGTTCACGCCATTCTCCTGCCTCAGCCTCCCGAGTAGCTGGGACTACAGGCGCCCGCCACTGCGCCCGGCTAATTTTTTCTGTTTTTAGTAGAGACGGGGTTTCACCGCGTTAGCCAGG